GAGTCTTCTTTCATTTCAAAGACACAAACTACAGATTTCGTTTCAGCAAAGAAACTGGCAGTCCCAAACTCTTGCAAATCATTCTCCTATGCCAAAAAAGTGCATTCTGTTTGAATGCAGCCAAGAGACATACACAAAGATGAGCATTATTGTTAACAGATGTGAGGATGTTTCCTTGGGTTCAATTAACGTTCTTACATTAAGCAAATGCACTGAGGACTTCTAGAGGGAAAAGATACCTTATTTACTCATTTAAGGCATTTTTCACCAGCCTTTCTCATCATAGACTCAAGCCAGGTTACAATGTTATTTAACATAGCAATGAAATAAATGAAACAATCAAAACCCACAAAAACTAAACAAATTCAGATAGCCAGAGATCAAATATTGTAGCCAAACAAGCTACACCTTTGGAAAAGCTCTTCTGAACAATTCTACCTTGCAGTGGGGACAACATGCCAACAATTTTCTGACAAAAATGAATGACAATCAGTGATTTCCCCACAACCACTAGAAACCTTCACAAGCCTTTCACCCATGTGTATAGTATTAATTGATAGAACTGGTTGAGCATTTTGAGGGCACAAGCTCCACTCTCTATGCAGAACCACTAAATATGGCACCTTTCATGAGTCATCTCACACCCGAAAAACTGCCAGTATGAATGAACAGAAAGCAAGCTGAGAACACAGCAAACAAATGAACGGGAGATGGCAACTGGTTGGACATCAGCTGACATCAGCCAATCATCTTGGCTACTCCTTGGCACATCTGATTCCTTTCACTCCCATGTTAGCATGTCAGCTTCATGATTTGGATGAACCTCTGAGAGTTTAATTCGTTGATGGTGATCCCCAGCTCTGTCATAAAGACAATAATTACTGATTTTAAAAGAATTGCACATTATTGAAAAAATGAGATCAAAATAAAGGATATCTCAAGAAGAATCCATTCTGCAGGAGCATTTTCTATATCAATGATCTCCTTTTGGACCCCCTTTTTAACCCAACTGGTCAATTTTTAAAAATATATCCCTTTTGTTATGCAGCAGGAAGAAAAGAATGGGATCCTGAGTTTGAATCTTGTACACTGTGTAAGTGCTTCCCTTTATTAATGAGTTCAAGAAGTTTCAGAAATCTGATGAGCTGAAAAGTGAGTACATGATGGCAGAATCTCTGTTTAGAGAGAGAGATGAAGTTATGGACACGTCATCTTGGTTCAAAATGCTTTGCTGTCATTTTAACATTGATGTTATTACTTATGGCAGGAAATATATAAATGAGAAAGTCAAGACTCTTGCAGCCTCTGATACAGATCTCTAGAATGCTTTGGTGTTCTATGATATTAGTTCAGAGAAAGGGCTAGAAGGATGTATACGGTTAAGAGTGTTACACTAGCACTGGGGAGCTCTGGGGTCAAATTTTGGCTCTGCTGTGAAGTGTATTGAATGATCTGGGGCCAGTCACTAACTTATTTCATTAGGTTGTAGTAAGGATAAAACGCATGTTTCCCTGAGCTCCATGGAGGAACTGTGATCAAAATTTAAGACATGAAATCACCAGCTTTTAAAAATTGGTAACAGTGTGATGTTTACTAGTGGTTTACCAAGAAGAAATCTTTCCTTCCAGAGAGTCTGACCTAGTCTATCACTAAGGTGATAAACTTATTCCTGTGTTGTACAGGCAGGTTCCACAACAATGTTCCTCCATCTAAAAATATGACTTGAAGATAGAAAGCTAACAAGTCAGGGAGAAGGCTATGCTAGAACTCTTT